GGATCAGGTATAATCCCTCCATTTTCTTTTGGTTCAAATCTGGTTTGTTTTGGTTCAAGTAGGATCCTTGAATTTTGATTCTAAAATCAGGGAATACGATTCCCAGTTGGAAGAAAGGTAGGAAATTTTTGAAATTCGCCCACCCATTCCACAACCCTTTTGGCGTCCATACGATGGATCCTACCATTCTTTCAGTGGTATCAGAGCCACATGTTCGAATCTTGAACCAAAAGATCAGATCTGAACCTTCGCAATTCGGTAAAAGTTGTTCTATCCGGATATTGCGTAGATTGCAGTTTTGTTTCAAGAAATTGTTTCTTGGTGTGGGCGATTGATCTGAAATTAATTTTGTTAAATCTGAAATTTATTTAGAACTGTTCTTAATTTATTTCTTGATTTAATGGATTGTTCGTACCTGGAGATCAAAGTGCAGAATTGGCGCAGATTGTCTGCACAATCTTTATTGCATTTTCTATTCTATTCGGTCTGTAAAATATTTTTTTTTTATTTTTCTAGACTGAATGTATAGGATTCAATCAAGAATGTAATTATTTAATAGAAATAGGATTTTTGTTTTTTATTTTCTTGATTGGAGAAGGCGGCGGCGCTGGAGATTTGTAGATCGTTATATCGCCTTCTGCATTTTGCAGATGTTGACTTCGCACTCTGTGTTTTGCAGTTTGTGAAACTGCAACCTTGGTTACTCACATCTGTTTTGCAAGTGGTGTGAACAGTCCATAACTGATTTGTGTTTGTCTAAAATCAGAATATTAATTTCAGATCTTTCTTGAATTGTTTCTTGAATTAAAGATTGGTTTTTGGACCATTTCAGACCAGATTGGACCAAAGCTGTTTGGACCGAATCTAGGGTTCAAAAGGGGCTGTTCTCAGCCCTGTTCTTCCCACTTTCAAGTCTGAAATCAATTTTTAATTGGAAGAACCAATTCGGCCCAACCTGTAAAGCCCAGTTTACATAAAAGCTATATGGGCCGAACTGCTAACTGCGATTCAGCCCATATACCTAGATGATGTTACTTGTTAATGTTGTGGTTTTTAAACGGGCTGTTTAATGGGCTTTACAGTGAGTAATTGATTGGATCAATTCTTCCATATCATGTGATGTGTGGA